AGAAACTGTGTGGTTTTCACACCATGCCTCTCGTTATTCTCTCTAGTGTGGATTCTTATGATTTACCAAGTTTGTCCGGTCAGAGAACAAATTCAGTGTCCTTCTCAAGGCTACTGACCCTGTCTCTAGGGACAAGTCTTGCTAGTTCTCTTATTTTTAACTCATTTGGGCCACATGGCAGAAGATTCTGTTTCCTCTTCACATCTATGTTGCTACCATGCTAGCTCATTAAATATTAACAGATGAATATCCAACTATCTCTTTAGTCTATTTTATTTTAAAAATAAATAGTGAAAGAATAGAGTCTTTGAGAATAGTCACATTTTCAGGGGAAAACAGACTAAACAAAAATATCTAACCTGTTTGGCCTGATAGCAAGGGCAGATACATACAATTCTATAGTTCAAACCCTGGGTTTTCACAAAGTTCAATTACAGTGGAAATACCCATAAATGAGAGTTCAAAGAGCATTCATTCACATTTTGAAGATCTTCAATCTACTAAATCCCATTGTTTTAATATTGTGTGACAAAAAAAAAATCATTGTCCTGTAAATGAGAAAAAGGTAACCAAAGTCTATGCTATCTATGAAAAACATTTATCACTTTGCTTCTGCCATAACGCTATATGTTTGACACTCATAAACCAAGTAATGAGTGTTTTAAAGTTTAAAAAGTATTTAGGGCCATTATGAAGATCTAGTCTGCTAGTCAATTTGTCACAGTAAAAGAGCGTGCATGACCTCCCCATAAAGAAAAGTTACTATTTCAGATGACAAGGTCTATAAAAAACCTGTCTCTATGGAAAATTCTGGTGTTTTACCTTCACGTTTTTGCTTTGTTTGGGTCATAAAAACTTAAGGCTACTAAAAAAAATGCCACTAAATTTCAATAGTTGCTATAAAAACACATTCTTTGAACTCTAGATTTCAGATGGCAACAATATGCTCATGAAACTTGATGCTGCTGTGTATCCTGAATTAGTCTTTTAATTATTTAAGATTTTTAAGGTCTTTTTAAAGTAAGGATTTCTCTGTTCAGTTTTTACAGGAGTTATTATTAACCCTTTAAAAATTTTAAAAATTTAGCAGTGTTTGGCTTAATGACGATCTTCTAAAATCACCCCTATAGATTGTCCACATTTACTTCCCACACATTCCCTTACCATTTAATATAGTAAATTAATAAATTATATGAGATGACAATGATGTCATTGACTTTTATGCATGATTGTGTATTTGTATTTTAATGAGAAAATTCTTATATAAGTATATATATTTATAGCTACACACAAATATTATATCTTGGCAGTCCCTCACTCTGCCTGAGGACAATCCCATTTGTCCAGAATCGTTAGGAAGACAAGCTCTTCTTATAAATAAGGTTGACATCCTGAGAGTAAAATTCTACTCTAACCATTGGGATAGAAATCTCTCTAAAATGCTTTCTGTCTTTTAAGATGACTAGTAATGATTTAACACTTTCTCGATGACAGAGAGTCGGCATTATGATTATCAGTTATTAGACTATATGCAACAGCCCAGACATTGAATGACCTCTGACAGTTTTTCTCTCTTATATCCTTGTTGACTTTTTCTAATTCTTCTGTCTTTTCTCTTTGCCATCAGAGTATTTACTCTCCCTTCTTATGGCAGATCTGTATACCCGCTTATGAGAGGCACTCCTTGCATTGTTTAATATGTTCTTTGAGATCCGATGTGGACTGAGAAATCCGATGGTCGCAGCTGTTAAACTTGGTCTAAAACTGAGAAAGATTTTTGTGACATTGACTACATCTGCTCCAGACCCTTCTGCCTCCTTCTTAGTAGTCTCTAGTCTATTAGCAATAGAAACAAAAAATAACCAAATAAGTGTCTTCTGAATATGTGGGGATAAATCTCACACTGGGGATAACGATGCTGAACTAATGGGCAGGTTTGTGCACTGAAAACAGTCAGCAAGATGTTACTGCCGGCAAATATTGAGAATTTTTATTATGCTTCTTCCATATTTCCTTTTTTATAATCCAAGGTAGGAGAGAATTTTTAAATATCAAAATAGTAAAAAAAATTAATCTTATCATTTTCATACTCCATACACCAATTCCTGGACATATCTCAGCAGCAATTCCAGCTGACCTGGTTACCTCTGGGACACAGAGCCTGATAATTTAAACAAGAAGGTCAACATGACAGGAGCTGTGGAAACGGACAATGCTATCGAAATCTGTAGTCTGCAAGATGAGTCTGGACATGGAAAAGACAATAGTTCACCAACAACTCCTTTCTGTCAACTTTATATGGTACTGACTTCATGTTCCCATCATGGACTGTGATCGTGTGAAGATGGCCTGCTCATAATATGTGGTGTTAACTGCTTAGTGACTGACAAATATTTGCAAATGTGAACGAATGCCATCCACAAGAAAGACATGTGGAGATAGATGCTCTGTCATAAACCCTTGTGTTTGAGCACTTTTGCTCAGCTAGACACAGGGTATAAATAAATAAATGGGGCTTGGCGTCTACCCTTAAAGGGTTTACAGACCACATTCCTTTCTGGAGGACATTCTTAGCAGCTCGGTAAGGGCCTGTGTAAATAAATGAATAATTTTGGTGTTTAGATGTGGTACAGTTTTTAGAACATGTCTTTTTTTTTTTTTTTTTTCTGGCTGCTTTTAAGATTTTTTCTTTACTACTGATTTTGGGCAATTGGATTATGATGCACCTTGCTATAGTTTCTTCATGTTTCTTGTGCCTGAGGTTCCTTGAGCTGCTTTGATCTGTGTTTATGGTTTTCATGAAATGTGAAACACTTTTAACCATTGTTTTTTCAAATAGTTTTTCTTGTTCTCTCTTTTCTTTCATTTGGGAATAGCAATTACACATGTATCAGGCTACTGTACTTTTTTTTTCTCTTTTGTTTAATTTTGTATAATTTCCACTGCTGTCTTCCAGTTCACTAATCTTTTCTTCTGCAATGTCTAATATGCAATTATTCCCATTTCTATGTTTTTTTGTTGTTGTTGTTGCTGTTGTTTCAAATGCTGTACGTTAACTCAAGAAGATTTTCTGGGGGTCTTATTAATATGTTTTCCATGGTTTTAATTTTTTTGAATATGTGGAATATAGCATTTAACATTTAAAGCAAAGGTTATCGTCTTACATTTAAAATCCTACAGAGCTCAGAGATATGTCTCCATCTTTAAATTGTTGTAAGAACCTAAATATTTCTCAAAGAAAATAATAATTCACTAAAAAATCATACTTTAAGATGGCACACTTGATTTGCTACCATCTTGATGGCTTTGTGCCTCTGATCAGACTCATGCCTGCCGGTCAGAGCCTACTTTCTCATGCTCACTTAGTTAGTCCTCCAAGGCAGAGGGGCTAGATGGTGACTTGCAGCAACTAAGTGCTCTTGGCTGTATATAAAGACCAATGACATCCTGCTCCCATCTTTGTATCTAGTGCTGTGATTGATGTGCATGAGGTGCCGGGAAGCAGCCATAATCTCCTCTGTTAAAGATGACACCTCTGAGACATAATGACGTGTTATAACTTGCCCCGCGTCACAAAGCTCAGAAGAGGTGGAGCCTAGGTTTGAATTGTGATTTGAATCAAAGTCTCCTAAATGGAGAAGGGAAAAAGATCCTAGGGTTAGTTCAAGGAAGTGATTTCCATAATTATCTCTTTCTTACTCATGCAAGGCTCGACTCTAGAATTCTGCCTGGCACGACTCTGCTTTTGAAGCTTTTCGTTGGTTGCAAGCGAGTGACAGCTGCACTTCAAGCCTTGCCCAACTTGAATTCTTCCAGCATAACATTAGGGATGCCTATGGGCAGTGGGGGAAAGGGACAGTATGTCCATTCCTGAGACTCTCAAAAGGAGGGTGGGCCTGCCCAGGCATCAACAGCCAGCTCCTGAGAAGTGCTGTCAGGGCCTGGATCCCAAGAGCTGGGATGTCATACCTGCAGCTGAGACTGTAGCAATGGAAACAAAGGATGACGCTCACACACACACACACACACACACACACACATGACAAGAAGGCAGATCCTGGAAGGTATAACAAGAAGGGAGGGTGTAGCTGCAGGACAACGCTGAGGTCAGTGGGCGTGGTGCCTACAGGACGGAGCTTCTGAGACTCATCTGTCGCTGTGTGCCTCTACCAACATTGTTTTAAAGAAAATGAATGTTCAAGAGTGTTTCTGCATACACCAAACACAGGCTTTGATATTACATGAATGGAAAATGAATGGCAGAGATCCAAACTTCCTCTCTTGATATTTTCCCCATACACCCTCATTTTTTTCTAAGAAGTTATACTTTTTTATGCCACAGTGAAAATTAGCTTATGTTAACAATTAGTGACCAAACTCAAGAATTCTTTGCTATGGTGAATTCACTTCTACTCAAAATGAAGGTCGTGAAAATTTTCATGAAAACCAATCAGAGATGGTGAGTGTTTATAAGAACAACAAAAATGCCCTCTGATCTCCTTCCCAAACATATATTTGCTTTAACAGTTTTGTCAAAGATAACTAGCAATGCTATTCTTCTCTGTAAGCCCATAATTTAAAAATGTGAGAAGTTCTTGGGGACAGGATAGGGGTTCACATGGATTTTATGCAAGATATGTGAATATTAGCTCCCTTAACAGCCAACGATAGTGCTTTGAAAAGCATCAACACATTGCGGTCCCTCCTGAAAACGAAGTAGCTCAGGTACACAAACAGAATGGAAAACACATCACAGCGTTTTTAATGGCTATACTTACATCTATCCATCTGTGTTTTGTGTGCTCTTCGAGGACCCCTAAGCCCTTAAGAAGAATTTTTAAAAGGAATCCCTACGTCCAACAGTTCAATGTGACTGGTCTTTCTCTAACGTCCTCAGAAACTTTATTAGAATTACATTTCTCAAAACTGGCCTTCTGTTACGGTCTAAGGTCGTGCTCATAATTCCAGATTTCTTTTGTATTGTAACAAACTAGTCATACCTTCCAGCTCCCTGCAGCCAAGTTCTGCAGGGCGCCTGCCGCCCCTTCCAGCGTGTCTGCATTTGAGCACTCAGAGAGCAGTGTGAGGTAGGGTTTGACTATTGATGGGTGCCACAGCATCTGGATCCCTTTTGGTGGTTCTGCACAGTCTGGAAGAGGTCCTACTCCATCCCACTGGTGGAAGAGAAATGAGAGAGCAAACATCTTTAACATCATTACATTTCCCGATACTGCCTTCTATAAACATTACAGACGAAAACAGAAGCAGGGGGTCATCACATTCGGTGAGCTTCTACTGCATGCGGGGTAATGCAGCAGCCACCCCAAAACAGGACAGCCTTTCCTGCCCTCTGAGAGCGTGTGATGGAGGGTGGAAGGGGCTGAAGCATGTACGCGAGTGAACGTAACTGGCAGTGGAACGAGCTAGCTCTTTGAGAGCAATTCTAACACATCGCTTCAGGAAAGAAGGGGAAGAGATGGATTAATTTTGGTTGGGCAGAGTGAAAGAAGGCTCGAGATCAAGGTAGTGCATTTCACAGTTAGCACATTATTGGCTACAGTAATTACACAGTAGCTGTAACAGTCAAAGGCCCACACTTCTTAGGCATAAGGGTTCCCCGCAATAAATTCCTATATAACTTGTAAAACACATGTTTGCTTGATTTTGAGTACTATCATTGCATCGATGGGCATCAAACAAATGACAGAATGGACAAAAGAGAAAATTGCTATGGTTTATTTGATGCATTGATACAGCCTTAGGCACATTTAGATCTTAACACCAATGTTGATAGTTAAGTTTGCTTTTAATCGAATCTAATGAATTAAAGGAGCATGTGTAATTAAAAATTAATTACAAATAACTTTAAAATTATGGCTTATTGCACGAAGGAATATCAATAGACCATTAGAAATGATAGTTGTGAAGACTGTGTAGCAAGTTGAGCAAATGATTACAAGAAAAGTTAAGCGAAAAAATCAGGACACAAAGTGGTATGGGTTTATGTTTTATACCATGTGAAATGCATCGTAAAAACCATGTAATAATAACTTACTAATAAAATATTTATGTCTTTCATTTTTTCCACATTTCAAATTTTCTGTTCTATTACTCTTATAATTTAAAAAATATTAAAAGTTGTAACAACGATTCTGATCTTTGATCACACACAGCTTTTGTCTTTTGTGAAAAATAAAGTCAATAAGTATAATGAGGGTAGAAATGAAGTAAACTATATGTATAGAAAAATATTCTCATTCACTTGAGAAAAAGCACAGCAAAATAATCTTTAATTTTAGAGTGGGAGTACTGTTATTTAACTGCTTTATCTGCATTTATTAATGATTGCTTAAATAAATAGGCTAAATGTCATATGCTAAGCTTTCTCACAAATATTTCATGTACGTATATATGTGCATGTCTGTATATGTGTGTATGTATGTATAAATACAAAGACACAACTATATTTCAGAATCTGTGTAAATCCCTTAGTTGTGAAAATTTTACTAGAAGAAAATACAGGCTTACTTTGTATCTTTGTAGCATAAAAATAGATGTATTGATAGTGAAATGTAAATTTAACGGCTACAAATAACTTCAAGAAGATCATTATTTTCCAAGAAAAAAATAAGAAAACTCCTGCCTTCTTTTTCTCAGTTATGATACAGCTTAGTGTAAGTCGAGGCTAAAGCTCCGAGATGAATGACATCCCATTAAAATGAACGTCCCACTAAAGGTCATTTTCAATGCGCGTGTCACTCAATTTCAACTTTTATTTTTCCGATTTCAACTTTTTAACAAGAACACTCGATGTGGGAATCTTCTTGTTTTTTTGAACCAAAGCCGCCTCTAAACCCTTCAAGGATCACTCTGCACCTGCGCACAGCCTATCGATGAAACAAGTGCATTTCTTTTAAACGTATAAAGAAAGCCGAAAGTGAACCAGGCTTGTCACATTGCACCCGGTTCATTATTGGAGACTGGCTCACTGTACTGGAAGACGGTATGAGGGAAAAGGCACTGTTACTCTGTAGGTTGACATCGACGATGAAGCAGGGGTAATACTGGCTTCTCAAAGGAAACCGACTTGGGGTGCTGGATTTCTTTGCTGGTGCAATGGGAAATGGAAAATTATTACGGTTTATTTTTTTCCATTTTTTATTTTGTCATCTCTTTAAAACTTTTAAAACTATCATTTTCATATGAAGACTTAATACTACTCAGGAAAATCAGACTATGAAATTTAGAACTCGAGACGGATGAAATTCCCCTCTCGTGTGAGAGCTGACAGGGCGGCAGGAGGTATGCAGTAGTATTTGCATGTTTGTTTCGAGATGTGACAAACTCCACAAAGAGCGAAGGCAGCTGTGTTGTCATTTGCTGGGTTTCATCTTGTTCTCTTTTTCTAACTTCTGTGCAATAGAACACGATAAATGGCTAAGTCAGTAGACGATTTTCTTCTGCTCTGACATGGATCTATGTAGCTCTCAAAGACCTTTTATTACAATCCTTTCTTAATGGTTACATAGAGAATCTGAAGGAAATAAAAGGAAAAACCGATGTGATGTGGATAATCTTTGATGGCAGCGAGAGATGGAGTTCAAGGGGATTCTCTGCTATTTCTAAACACCGATGGCACCCTAGCATGTCCATACTGCAGAAAAAGAACTGTTTCGAATTAGTCAATGTACTTGGCCTTTATCTCGGTACTTTATTCAAAATTCTCTTGGATTAATAGGGAGAGAGGTGTCGGTTGTCCTTTAAAAAATAGATTTTGATCACCCATAAAAAGAATGAAAGTCTTAAGAGCTGTGCTCCCATATTTGGCTTTATGTTGCTAGACAATAAACATCGGCGACACGTTAGGGCAGGGGTGACACAGGATCACGCGAAAGCTGAGAAACAGTTCTGCGCGTGCAAACTTTTACTGCTCACTTTCTACACTGAGAAACCATGGGCTACGAACTCCGACCAAAGTGGAAATAACGTCATTTATAAATTTAAACCCGAGACGCATCGATCCTAAAATTTCTACAAAACTGTCACACCAACTGAAGGCATGCACTGGCTGCGCCTTTAACACGATCAAAACACCGGTCGTCCAGCTATTTAGTCCTGATAATACAGGACTAAATAAATTCATGAGCCTTATGCAAATGGTGCTTCTTTTGGACTCTATCTGGAGGGTGTATCATCAAAATTCTTTAAAAGCTTGAAATATGAAAATAATATAGAAAGAAGCAACAAGTTAGGAGAGAGTACTTTCTATGTCCTAGAGACAGGGCTCAACCAAGGAGACAAAGTATTTGTAGGAAAATAACAGCGGCAAAGCTAGCAGAGAATTCGTAATTATATTATCTACAGTATTGCCTCGTCGTGTCACAAATACACACACCTCATCACAGTGTATGTGTTTATCCATGTTCATTGATCAGGTTTATGTTTGAAAAACAAGCAGAGATCAGATAAAGAGAAGCAAAAGACAAAGAAGAAAAAGCAGAAAAACATTTGTGATTTAAAAAGTTTTCATTCCAGCTTGGGGGAAATTTGCTGTGAAAGTATTCGTTTCTTCTCTCTTTTTTTTTTGACTCCTCACACTTGATAGTTAAATAAATGTTCCTTAGTTTCGCGCACATTTTTATTCCATCTGGTGTATTTTAACGAAACTTGCAAAAGTTCTAGCAGCTCTTGATTTTTAAAGTTATTACTTAAATGTTTAAATTATATTTTGTGCAAATCGTTCTCATGTTGTCAAATAGAGAAAAAAAAATACCAGAGAACATATTTTTAGTTTTGAAGTTCCTCTTATTCATTGTCTTGTTTATAGGAATTCAGAATTTTACACATGCATTTAGAGTTGGTGAAGCTAAGAATTAAGTGAGTTATACCAGTGGTTTTGAGATTCTTTATGGATAATCCTATGGTTTGAATGTTTATGTCTTCCCAGCATTCCTATGTGAAAGCCTCAATCCCCAGTGTTGGGAGGTGGGCCTTTTGGGAGGTGATTAGGTTTGGTGGAGATCATGAGGGTGGAGCCGCCATGATGGGATCAGTGTTATAAGGACATGAAGGGACCAGAGCGTTCTCTTTCCAGCTGTAAGGACACAGCAAGGAGACGGCCATCTGTAAAGCAGGTAGAGGCCCTCCACAGGGACCGAATCTGCTGGTCCCTTGATCTTGGACTTGCAGGCTACCAAACTGTGATAGATAAACGTCTATTGTTTAAGCCACCCAGTCTATGGGATTTTGTTATAGGTGCTTAAGCAGATTAAGACAGTAATCATAAACAGGAGCAAGAATACTTGGTACTAGGGTGGCCCTCTGGCTACATTGTGACTTTTCTGCCTGGAGCACTCTTGGGAACAGGCTGGCAGCAAAGCCAGGAGAGTGTGTGGCACTGAATTATGTTTCAGTAGATCACAGAGCAGATGAGCAGACTGATTTGTCATCCCAAATAGTGCCACAGTCAAGAACATATTATCAGTACTTTTTTTTACTGGCTTTAAATGTATGACTGTACGGCTGGTATCGATAAACCAAACCAGTGAACAGTTTATACCGCTTGCTTTCTAAGCTCGAATAAAATGGAATATATATATTATCTCTACAAGAAAGTAACGTTGAAACCTTTTTGGAAAAGAAGAGAATAACACAGTCCCAATTTAGAAGCCAAGTGGCTGCCACAATTTAGACACAATGCCTTCTGTCCCAGGCAGGCAAGGAGGCCCGCGCTGGCCACTGTAAGAAATGCCTGCTTAGGAAGAAAGTCACGTAGGGGTGAAGGTGTGTTCACAGTTTGGGTTAAAAAAAATAATAGGAGGGAAAAGCCTTTCTTCGGACTTGCCTTTAGTACCTTTGCTGCTCAGTAGGGCTTAAAATTCTATTTAAAAGCTACCTATCTTAGCTGGCTTGAGGATGGAACAGTGGAAGCCATTTGCTCCTTATATGAAAGATGTGATTTGGGGATAAAAATCCAAAAGTTCAAAAACCAGGAAGTAAAGATGTCCATCCACTTCACAATGAGACTTTGTAGACGTGGGCTCTTTAAGGGGTGGCAGCTCAAGAGACAACCGGAATTACCACATTCCTCAAAGCCCTTACTGGGTGAGAAGAATTAACAAGAGGTCTTCAGCTCCTCCCTCCACGGAAGCCTACACCTCACCTGCCCCAGCTC